TTTTCTTTATGTTGAGGTGTAATCCGTACCGAAGGCTGTGGTCTTTGATCTTCATCAGTAAGTGCTTCAAGTCCTCTTCACTTTCAATAAGCAAGGCTGTGTCATCTGCATATTGCAGGTTGTTAATGAGTCTTTCTCCAATCTTGATGCCATGTTCTTCTTCATGTAGTCCAGCTTCTTGGATTATTAGCTCAGCTTACAGATTGAATAGGTATGGTGAAAGGATACAACTCTGACACACGTTTCCTGATTTTAAACCATGTGGTATCCCCTTGTTCTGTCTGAAAGTCTGCCTCTTGGTTTATATACAGGTTCCACATGAACACAGTGAAGTGTTCTGGAATTCCCATTCTTTACAGTGTTAGCTATAATCTGTTGTGATTCACACATCTGGTGGTCCCCAATTTAAAGGGGAAATGGGCCAGTGCAGAAAACCTGAACTCCAGTCGCCTGTCTTGTCACCTCTCTGCGTCTCTCAGAGATCCCCGTATCCAGTTGCTCCATCAGCTTTCATCTGTTGGGATGTTCTGGGGAGATTTAATCTGGAGGAAAGGGTTGATTGGCCATGCTTTTTCCTTATCTTTAGCTAATGTGGACTCAAATCTAATGCAAAGGTTAGCAAGTTCTATGGTCCTAACTAAGTGTTTCTAAAAAGCCAACAGTTAACCAGGGAAGTGGATGCCAAGCCCGCAGATGGAACTCTCCAGAAGCCAGCTGCAGCTCCACCCCCAGGTGCCGAGACACCAGTGGGAAACGGCAGTGCCGACGGCCCTGGCTTTGCGCTTCTCGGCAGCGTGGACCCTTCAAGCTCTCTGCAGGTTCCAGAAGGTCGTGAGAGCCCACCACTGTCTCCAGGACCTATGTCTGGCAGCCCCAAGGAAGCCCTGGAGGAAAATGCTAGTTCTTACACGTTAGGTAATAATGTCATGTTCGATTCTGAAAACCTGGAGGCCTTTGCTAGGGCTGCCGCCTTGGACAAGACAGAGAGTGCCCACAAAGCCGCAGAGGACCCCCCGGATGGTGGAGTCTCTGCTGTTCCAACTGAGGCCGCCTTGCCCCCCACTGTGAGTCCTGAAGGACCATGTGGAGAAGCTCTCCTCGCAGACCTGCCTGGTGTGGCGCCAGCCTGCCCTAAGGACACATGCACCCCCCAGGAGAAAGAGCAGAAGCCGCTGGCCAGCACTGCGGGTGACATAGAGGCTTCTGGGGCTCCCGTGCCCAGAGATGAGGCCGAGGCCCTGCTCCCCACACATGCCTCAGGTCTTGAGGACACGGCCCCAGCCAGTCCTTTGAGAGCAGGAAGGGCCGTGACCCCGAGTCCTCAGAAAGAAGAGGGCCCCAGGCAGATGGCTGACTCCGCAAAGAGCGAGCCTATCAAGCTCGAGTTTGACTTCTCTGACAGTGTTGTCAGCAAAAGGGCACCTCCCCCCAGGAAACTGGGAAAAAGGCCTGGCATCAAGCCCCCCTCCAAGAGGCAGGAGGCGCGACAGGCTCCCACGGAGACAGACGAGCGCCCCGTTCCTGCAACCCGAGGGTCGTACAACCTGGACTGGGACAAACTTGATGGCCCAAACTTCAATCCATTTGGAAATGGCTCTCAGTGTGGTGGTGGAGAGGCCCGGCCCCCAGAAAGACCCGAGGCCAGGCCAGCCCGTCCCATGGCTGAGCCGCTGAGCGCTGAGCCTGAGGCCGCTGAGGCCTCACCTCCGAGTCAGTAAGTATGGGGTGTTGGTGGGCTCAACAGCCCTGTGCCTACTACACTTCTTTGTGGCCATGTATATGCCCCACTGGGAAAGGGCCTCAGGGCAAAGGAGCTGTGCGGGGTGCTGAGGAGGCACAGGCTGTGGGGGGGGGCTGGGTCCCGAGCCAGCACAGGAGACATGGGGGTGTAGATGAGTGTATGTACAGTGTGACGAAGGGTCAGACAGCCCCCACACGTCAGCTCGGCTGAGGATAGAACCTAGCCACCCCCTCACCTCCCACCACCCACAGGAGCCTGTTCTGAATGGGTGTTAGCCATTCGTTTGGCTATCGTGGTACCTTTAAGTGGTAACCAGTATGTTTTTTAAGATCGTTATTTACAATAAACCTGGATGACCTTTAGAGAAAAGGAAAACATATGAGCCCAGCAGCCAAACACCCACTGTTACCAGGAGGTGTGGCTTCCCCCGGGTAGGATTTGTCTCAGCTGAGCCTCTTCCCAGCCACGTGGTCAGCCAGGGAGCCTCCAGCTCCCATGTCCACTCACACCGGGGCACCCCCGGGGGGGCACCCCATGACTGCACACTCACAGGCAGCCTCTCCCCAGGCTGGACCTGCCTGCAGTCCCAATGTGACGCACTGAGTTACCCCGGCAAGGTTGTCCACGGCGTCCCTGCTGCCTGACACCGTCTCCTCCTTCCCCAGCTTCCCACCTGCCTGGCACCTTTGGCTAATGAGTTTCCTGCCTCCTTGCTTCTGCCCCGTCTCTTCTCAAGGGTTGCGCGCGTGAGGATAACTGGGCTGCGGGTCACTTGGTTTGGCGCCGGGTGTCTAGCCCATCCCAGTGAGGGCTCCCAAGGCACTGTGCACAGGGACACCAGGGGGGTGAGGCCAGGCACCCCCGGGCTCCTGCTGACTCTGTCTCTTCAGGCAGGTGGGTTCAGCCTTGCCTGGTGGCAGCCCCGAGGTCCAAGTCACCGCACCTGAGGTCCCTGCGGAGGCTCCAGGAGCAGCAGGCGAGGTACGGTGTGGTACATGGGGGAGGGTGTCATGTCTCATAGCATGCAGACAAGGAGCAGGGTGGACCCAGCAGGCCCCTGGGAGAAGGGAGACCTCCGCAGTCCTCCCTTGACTGGTGGCCAAGGCCAGGCCCAAACCAGCCCCCACGAGGCTCTGGGCTCACTGACCTCCGAGCTTCCTTCCAGGGGGGAACAAGTTGTTCTTCAGATACATCAGTCCCCACGAGCAGTCCAGGCAGTGAGCCGACAGCCCCACCTGCCGAGCTGCCACCCTCCCTGGACCTCGCCAAGGAGAGCTTCAAAGACCCAGCTGAAGGTGCGTGGGCCCAGAGCTCCTGGTCTGCCTGGCCTTGGCGTGCCCGCAGTCAGCCGGGGAGCTGTGTTCATAGCTCCTTCCGCGCGTCTGGTTGGTTTCCTTGGTCTCTCACTGCAGGTGGCCATTCTACAGGCACCTTTGGTACCCAACTTTCAATGGTTTCTCTAAAGCTTGGCATTTCCAGTGGAACAGGGCTAATACCTTTAGCGTATAAGAATTCTAGTAACGGAAACTCCGGGTGTGCTAGGAAAACAGGCCAAAGGTGGGATAGTGGACAGCAGCACGGGTGGGCAGGGCGGACAGCGCGGACAGCACAAGTGGACAGGAGCCAAAGATGGGGAGCTCGGTGTAGCCAAAGGGTGGTTTGAAGCAAGACTCTTGGAACAGTGCTCAGCACCAGGCTCAGGGGGAGCACGGTGTGTCTGTACGATGGAGCGCGGCACAGTCTCCAAACCGAAGTGTCCCCAATGAAAACTTGGGATTTTGTTGCTTTAAAAGACAATGACGTGACTCGGTGGGGTCTCCATTGTGCCTGGAGCTCCATGGGCAGGGAAGACTGGAAGCAGGGTGGAGTGTTTTCCAGCGGGATGATCGTGGGGTCCTTGCCACGTGGCTGGGACGTACCACCGTGGGCGCACTCAGTGGGGTAGGCTGGGGAGGAGTGTCGGGGGCAGCGAGGCCCAGGAGGATGGAGTGGTGGCTGTGCTATTGTGGTGTTCCGCCGTGTGGGAGTGGTGGATGGCCGCGGTGGGGAGGTGGGGGCATGGCAGCCACAGTGACCCACCCCCCTTCAGTTCTAGGCACGGGGGCCGAGGTGGACTATCTGGAGCAGTTTGGAGCCTCCTCGGTGAGTACTGGCCTCCCAACACCTTCCGTAAGTGCAGGCATTCCCCAGGTTACTAGCGAGATCCGCTCCCGACTGTACCTTTAGGGCGAATTTGTAAGTCAGAACAGGGGCATACGATTCTTATTTGGCCTTACTTTAGTGTAAGAAAGCCCTCGTGGCGCAGTGGTTAAGAGCTACTGCTGCTAACCAAAAGGTCAGCAGTTCAAATCCACCAGCCTCTCCTTGGAAAACCCTTTGGGGCAGTTCCACTCTGTCCTGTAGGGTCGCTATCAGTCGGAATTGATGGCAACAGGTTTGGTTTGGTTAGTGTAAGAAAAGGCTTGAAGCCTTTTCAGTGATTTAAAAGCTGCACGTGCAGCAAATGAAGGTGATTATATGGTGAAGACTTTCTTGCGAGTAGGGGTTCAGTTGTTTCAAAGTGAGGACAAGTTTGCATAACATTAAAGGGCAAGTGCGAGTTGTTCCTAACCCAGGAACTGCCCGTGTGTATCTTGGGAAAGGGGAACGTTTTCTAAAACGCCACCCCATACTGCTGTTACACCTAAAAAAAAGGTAACAATCTGTTAACATGTAGTATCCACTCGGTGTTCAGATCTCCCCGTCCACTCGCGTCGGGGTCTTTACTTTAGGTCAGGCCCCAGTGCTGACTGGTTCTGCATCGCTCTCTCTACCAGTTGCTGTCCAGTCATCTCTGACTTGTGGCAGCCCCACGTGTGTCAGAGTAGACTTGTGTTCCATGGGGTTTTTGATGGCTGAGTTTTGAGAAGTAGATCACCAGGCTTTCTTCCAAGGGTGGACTCGACATTTTGGTTAGCCACCAAGCGTGTTACCCATTTGCAGCACCCAGGGACTTCATGTCTCTCCAGGACCCCTTTTTGTCTTGCAGTTTCTTTGCCTGAAGCTGCGTCCTAAGGTTCCCTGGGAACAGACCTCTAAACTCTGTGCTCGTCCCCGAGATGGAGCTTCCCAACACTGCTGGCCGGCAGCTGCTGGGTAGCTGGGAGGCAGAGGGGCGCCCACCTTGCCCCAGGGCCCTGTGCATCCAAGGATGAAGTCGACCACGTCTCTGGGGGCTGAGGTCAATTAGGGGAGACTGGGGAGGCCTAACTCTTTGGACCCTGTCCTCCCTTCAGTTTAAGGAGTCTGCCTTGAGGAAACAGTCCTTATACCTCAAATTTGACCCGCTCCTGAGAGACAGCCCCAACAGACTGGTTCCTGTGGCCGCGGAGACCAGCAGGTGAGCCTTCCACTGTCTCGCTCTCTCGCTTACTCTGTGAAGCTTTTAGTGGGGAGACGGTGATTGTTACTTGTGGAGACGGGGTGGCCATTACGCGTGGAGACAGGTCAGCTGTTACTAGGTGGGCTGTCTGCCTAAAGGACTTTTAGACCGAGCGAGACACCAACGACTTACGTTCTGAACAGCAGACTGGGGTGGAGGAACTTGGACCCCCTGGGGGCGGAGGTGGCGTTGCCGGGGCCTCACAGGTCTAATTTAGAAATGGGAAGACTAGAACTTTGGAAAGAACAGTCAGCGGAGACTGGACTGTAGATCGTCATACTGACGAGGAGCGGGGAGGCATGTGGGTGAGCAGAACAGACATGAGCGAGCCAGCCCCATGTGGCCGAGATGATACTCCTGCCCCTTGATCGTCCTCTGGGGCAGCCAGTGTCCCCTAGGGAGGGGGAAGCAAGTTTATTACGTGTGCCACTCTAGACGGGTTAAAGATCTAAACATTAAAACAACTAAGAAGACGTTCTAGAAAAGAGGTTGGCAAACCACGGCCCAGGAGCCAAATCCGCTGGCCACCAGTTTTGTAAATAAAGTTTTATCGGGGTGCAGCCGTGGCCCTTTATTTATGGGTTGTTGGCGCCTTTCATGCTACAGTGGCAGACATGAGCAGTGACAGAGGTCGCGTGGCCCACAAAGTGGAAAACATTTACTGTCTGGCCCTTCACAGGAAAAGCTTGCCAATCCCTGCGAGAGAGAGAAATAAGGGCTTGTTTGTGTGAATTCGAGGTGAATGATTTTAAGCATGGCATGGCCCCATGAGCCAAAGAGAAGAAAAAGGTTTTCTAATTTAACTGTAAAAGTTAGATTTCTGAAGTACGGGAGACCCACACGCGGGTTAAGGCATAGGCCAGGTCTGCAGCAGGTGACAAAGCGGGCCACAGCCCAGAGTTTATCAAGTGACCGGACAGGCCAGTGGTCCCATGCAAGACAGGCTGGCCCATCTGTGGACAGAAAAGGCAAGAGGGGGCCGAGGGGCATGGAGGGAGAACGAAGGGGCTCAGGCTCACTGGATACTAGGATCGTTACTTTATCAGTACTGAGTTTAAGCAAAGGGACGGCATGATTGAAACTGGGTCATTTGTTCTTCTGTCCTGTTGGGTACAGAGAAGCAGCCCAGGCGGCTGCAGTCCCCTCTCCTCTGTCTGTAAGCACTCAAGTCGCCAGCAACCCCTCCTCAGGAAGTGTGCCGGAAGCGAGGCTGGTGGAGTTTGACTTCTTGGGATCTCTGGACGTTCCTGTGAGTACTTGCTCCTGTTTGCACGTCTTGTGTGCTGTTAAGTTTTATAGAAGTTCGCAGGTGCACGTTGCTCAGGACCTGGCTTCTCCCTTCTCCGGGGAAGCAAGGCCTTTAGAAGGGAGTGGCAGGTGTGTGGGGGCCCAGACGCTCCTTGATGAGGACGGGTGCGTGTCCCGCATGGCTGGCCCTGCCTCACGGGCTGGTCACACGTCTCTCCGGGGCTTTCTCAGGAGTCCCCCAGGGGCTGCAGGCTGAGCCAGGCAGGCCTGTCCTGTTTGGACCGGAGCTCGGTGGGAGGCAAGGCTTGGCGAGGTTAGGGACGTGTTGTCGCTTAGCTGTCTCTGTTGTCCTGCAGGTACCGAGCCCTGCCCCGTGTGTCCTCGGGCCTGGGGGCCCACCCCTACAAGTGAGCCCCATCGTGGACGTGCTGCAGTACAGCCAGAAGGACCTGGACGCCGCGGTGAGGACCGCTCGGTGATGATGCCCGGGGTGGGGGGAGGCACCTTGTCCTCGTAGTGCCACTGCAGTTCCTGTAACTCGGAATGTCACTGGGGGCGAGACCTGGTCGCATCCCTGCTGGGAGGTGGCGACACGTCTGCACCCATGTGGTCGGGGCTCCCAGCCCCCGGGGTGGGTGGGGCGGCCTCTGCCCACACCCAGCCTGCACCGAGAAAGGGGCCGCCTCCGACTGACCCCCCGACTCGGCGGTGTCGTGTGTAGGTGCGAGCCCTGCAGTTGGAGAACCTGGAGCTGAAAGGCAGGTGTGAGGAGCTCTATGCCAAGAACCAGGAGATGGGGTAAGCCTGTGGGACATCGGGCTGGACTGGGGCACCCCCACCGCCCCACAGGCCTGGAGCTCTCTTCCGCCCTTCTCCCCACAGGAAGATCATGGACGAGTTTGAAGGGATTGCACATCAGGTGACGGGTGAGTGCCCAGTGCGCCCCATCCTGGCCTCCCCATGCTATCTGCCCCGGCTCCAGAAGCTGGGCTCTGTGGGACGCTGGGGCATGGCCAGGTCAGCACCAGGGTCCCGGGCTGGGTGTCTTCCTTCCTGCAGCCCCCCGTCTCCTGACCACATCCTGCCTCCCGGCCCTCAGTGTGCGCCGAGTCCTCTCCGCCACAGTGAGGGGGGACCGTCCCCTCACCAGACGTGTGTCAGGCCCCCCGTATCAACCAGACCCTGCGCTGGTGGCTGGGGCAATGGCAGGTGGGCAGTGCAGTAGAAATGGCACCCCACCTGGAGGCCTGGCCCAGCTGTGCCCTGCCCCCACCAACTGGCAGCATGTCTAGGCTGGTGAGGGTGGTGCCCAAGCTGTTGGCCACCCTCACCTGGCCACTGCGTCCACGGCTGTGGCTGGGGTGTGTGCACCGGGCACGCCGGGGCCAGCCTGGTTGGGGACGGGCTCCTGGAAGCCCCCTCGTGGGCAGTGCGTCGGAGGCTGGGTAACGGGCCTGTCTGGGGCTGAGCACTGGCTGGGGCGGGTGTTCTAGGCCTTCATCTACAGCCTCTCCGGGAACGTAGGGCAGAGCTGGAGCCTCTTGGGGAAGCCGGCACCTCCCTGCGATTCTGCGGCACCACCCTTCCTGCTCCAGGGTCTCTGCTGTCGCTCTTGGGCTGCTGGCACCTGGTGCCCGTGGCGGCCGGGCCAGCCCTCGGTGCCCACCCCACCAGGGCTCCCTGCCCGCTTGCCTGGGTCCTGGTGTGGAGCTGGGCAGAGACAGCTGTCTCCTGGGGCCTTTGGTGGCACAGTGCTCCCAGGCAGCTGCCTTCCTCTCCCCGCCACACCCTCGTTCCTTCGCACACGTTCTCGATTGTTTGTGACACCAGCTTATGCATTCGTGCTTCTCTTTTCTCAAGAGGAGGCTAAGAAAGAGAAGGAGCTTGCCGAAGCCAAGATCCAAAAGATTCTGAAAGAACGAGATCAGCTTACCGCAGACCTGAACTCCATGGAAAAGTCTTTCTCGGACCTCTTCAAGCGGCTTGAGAAGCAGAAGGAGGTGATTGAAGGCTACCGCAAGGTACGTTGTGTGGGGACACGGGGCGGTGTCTGTCCGGGTCCTGTCTGCGTGTTCCTGAGTAGATGATGGGTAGGAGTGACTGGCCTGGACTCATCTCTTGTGGTTTTATCTCCATGGGTCCGGAAGCCTATCAGGCTCCTTTGTGAAAATAATCTAATTCAGCATATGGCCGCGCCTTCCCTCTGCGCTGGTGCTGGTTCAGTACGTACGGACGGGAGTTGGCAGTCCATGACCCCACCCAGCCTAGGAGAGGGGAGAGGTGAACTGGTGCCTCAGGGCCCAGGGGAGCCATCTGCATCGGGAGGCCCCACATGGCCTGGAACAGAACCAAGGTGGCCAGAGCAAGCTGGAATGTCACAGTGGGGTGCACGCATCAGGTGGCAAGAAGAATCCGGAGTGGGTGGGCAGAAGGTGCAGCTGTGTTTGTCACACTTGGGAACGTTACCGCGCCCGGGCAGCAAGAAACCCCGAAGATCCGCATTCTGGTAAAGGGCCTGTCACATCGAGTCTGATCAGTGACTTAAATTGGGGTAGCTAAACGTGAAGACTCAGTGTGAGAAACGACTCGCCATGAGGTGTGAGAACTCTGCGGGCCCCAGGACTGAGGAGGTAACCCGCGGAAGGGAAGGGCCATCTTGGAGGCTGGTTCAGACCCCGTGGGATCCCCTGGACGGCAGAGGAGCTGGCTCGTGTGCTGGGCTGGAGCTGGCTCGTGTGCTGGGCTGGGCATGGCTCGTGTGCTGGGCTGGAGCTGATCTGTGGGGGCGGGCGAGCCACGCTGGTGGTGGCATGCAGCAGCATTGGGGGCCACAGAAACAAATCAGAGATGGACAGACAGACCGGGGGATGGGGCAGGTGAGAAGGAGGAATCGGGTGCTGCTGGGTCAGGAGGCCTGGAGCACATGGTGTCCATGTTGGAGGGCCGCGGGTAGGTGTCACCAGGCCACACCAGGACTGCAGGGTCACCAAGGGTTGTGTGTTCTGGGCATGAGGCTGGCACAGCTCCATCCATGCCCTCCACCCACTCCACTGACCCCTGTGCAGCAGCCCCAGCCACTGAGCCCCTTCCTCCTGCCTCACCCGTCCAATGCCCCCTACCGACAAGGAGAAGCACTTCTGCTCACAGGAGCTCCCTCCCTCGCCCCAGGGCAGGGGTGAGGGGTGAATCGAGCTGGAAGGCAATACACGGTAACTGGCACAGTTGCTGAGAGGGGTTTTGGGAGAAAAATCCACATCTTCCACTTGTGGGTGGGGCAACCCAAGCCTGTTGAAGAGCTGGCCGGATCTCAGAGGTGCTGCTGGACGCCATCAGAAGAGAAAGGACAACTCCTGGCAGGCGGCTGGAGGGCTGGTGGAGCGCATCTCTGAAAGGGCTGAGAGATCTTCAGGTCGGGACCCGGACTGGGTTGAGCTGGTGCCAACCCAGACGGCGGCTTCGCTTCAGATCGTCTCGGTCCTTGACGTCTGATGGGTGGTCTTCAGTGGCTGTGTTCCCAGGCACTGGCAGAAGCAAGCGTAAATACTCTAGAAGATCTTATTTCAAAGCTTTGATTATTTCTGTAGTTCTGCACATCACATCTGGCCCAGAATAACCAGCCACGTGAGGAGACGGGGAAACAAGGGAAGATCAGCAGAAACAGTAGGAACAGGCCCACTGAGGTTCCAGGCGGTGGTAGTATTGACGGGGCAGCGGTGGTAGCGGCAGCAGATGGTGGTAACCATGAGACGTGCCTCGCACATCTACCACAGGGAACATGACTGACATCCCTGTGGCGCTCTGAAATCCCCCCCCATCTGCACCAAGGCACGCTTTCTCCACAGGCTTAACCATGGCCCAGCCAGGGGCACGCACGGCAGAGTCCTGAGGCAAGGCATCTCTGGCCACAGCCAGACTTGGGGGGCGCTACAGAGAGCGAGCAAGGCCCTCCTTGTGCAGTGAGGGAGAGAACAGACCAAGAATGTGGGACCCGCAGGGAGGGAGGTCTGAGGGGTGGAGCTGCTGGGTGGACCTGGGTGTATGGCCCTTCCCCAGCAGCACCTGACTCTTGGGCGTAAGTGTGGGGGCAGCACATGAGGCGGGCACTGCATGCCAGGGAGACAGCCACTGCCAAGGATGTGGGTCCATCCCAAAGGGCAGAGGTCCAGGAGCCATCCTGAATGGGTGGGAAGAGGAGGGATCTTGACTCCTGACTTCAGACTGGTGGATGTGCCTGTGGTGGGTTGTACCAAAGTGGGGTGTCCCAGGGTGACAGCTGGACCTCGGGAGCCAGGGTAGGGAGGGGAGTCCCTGGTGGACTTAGCTAGTGCTCACCTCCTCATGTTCCGGACTAGGACGGTCTTGACCATGACCGTTTTCAGAGAGAAACAGGACTTGCTGTTCTCTAAGGCCTCTTGTGTTTTGCTGTTAATGTCTCAGAGAGCCTTGGGGTCTGTACAGCTGACCCTGTGGGTTTCCGAAAAGCCAAGACTAGGAGGTCTTAAACTGAGTTGCTCCCGGTTACAGTTGCTCTCCTCTTGTCCTTTAAAGAACGAAGAGTCACTGAAGAAGTGCGTTGAGGATTACATACTGAGAATTGAGAAGGAAAGCCAGAGATACCAGGCGCTGAAGGCCCACGCCGAAGAGAAGCTCAGTCTGTGAGTACTTGGAGTGAGGGACGCAGGCCGACGGGAACTGGCTGAGAAAGGGCTGGCAAACCTAGTGGCAGGCCAAGTGACCACGAGATAAGGGCATCCTCGTGACAGCGTCAGAGGATGTGCAACAGCTGGCAGAACGTTGAGTGGGGGTGGTCTGCAGACCAGGTCTGGTCCGGGGAGGGGACAGGCCTGGGCCTCCACTGGGCTCAGCCTGCTCCCTGTGTCTCCAGAGCAAACGAGGAGATCACCCAGGTGCGCAGCAAGGCCCAGGCGGAGGCGCTGGCCTTCCAGGCTAGCCTGAGGAAGGAGCAGATGCGTGTCCACTCGCTGGAGAAGACCATCGAGCAGAAGGTACGACTGCGCCTGGAGCTTCTCGGGGCACAGGGACCTGAGGCCCTGACGCTCTGCTCAGCTGTCCTGGGCCTCAGCCTCTGAGGGGAGAGCAGGAGGAGGAGGAGCCTGAGGTACCTCCCTGGGCCCTCAGACCTGCAGCCTGCAGGGGCCGTCTGGGACCGCCTTCTAGAAGGGCCCCTGCAGGCTGCCTCTAGGCTGGGCACATGTCCTGGAAAGCTGACGTGCTCTGTACTCCTTCCCGGACTCTGTCCTGCTCCGGGCAGAGTTCACTGACCACCCTGGCCTGTTGCTGCTCCATATGAGCATTCTGCAATTCATCTTTTTGCCCTTTAGACTAAAGAAAACGATGAACTCACCAGAATCTGTGATGACCTGATTTCAAAAATGGAAAAGATCTGATGTGGAATCACTGACCAGTGGCCTTCTCTGCCTCCTTCTGTCTACATGTAGCGTGTCTGTCTATTTGTCCAGCCATCCATTTTTGTGTCTCTAAACAGGTCTTACGTACTCTTCTTCTCTCTTAAACTCATTTTTAAACTAGATTACTTTAAAATGAAGACTAAATAAAGTTTCCCTTAGATTTAAGCTCTGAAGTTGCATGTCTCTGGTCTCTATTACGGTGAAGGTGCCCTGGCTTCGGGCCGAGGGCTGAACTAGCCCACAGCTGCTGCTGCCCACCGTGCCCCAGCCTTCCGGCTTTTTCTGGCCCACACGGGCTTCCTGCACTTACAGTTGCCTAATGGGCACACTTCAGCCCACAGTGGTTAGTGCCTCCTACAGGCAGGTTCCGTGGGGCTGGGTCCAGAGGGCAAGCAGCCCTGCTGAAGTAGCAGGGACAACGATAAGCCCTGAGTGGACCATATCCTGCCTAGTCAGCCCTGGCTTCTCAGGCCAGCCACGTGACGCTGGGGTCCGGGGAAGTGTGTCTCCACCTCATAACCACAGGTGAAAATCCAAATGGTTAACATTTTAATGTAAACAAAAGTATAAACTGCTGAGGTGTAGTGGTCAGCTTTGTGTGTCAACTTGGCTAGGCCATAGTGTATCCAGTTACTTAGTCAAACACTAATCTTGTGTGGCTATGGAGATATTTTGTAAAAGTGGTTAACATCTACGATGAGTTGACTTTAAGAATATTATTCTCAACAATCCAAGTGGACTTCATCCAATCTGTTGAAGGCCCTATGAGTAGAACTGAGGTTTTCCTGAGGAAGAAGAAATTCTGCCTCAAGTTTGGGTGTGTATGTGTGTAATTGCCTTACTGATTGTTTCTCTGGAGAACTGATAAAATTTTGGTACTGAGAGATTCTTGAGGAATAGAATCTTAAGGATAGTTTTCAAAATTGGTTCTGGGATTTCTGGAGTTGGTTCTCTAATCTGGTAAAATTGAAAGGCATTAATGACTATTTCCTGTACTAAGGGGGGCACTGATAGTCCATGGTGTGATGTGGCAATAGAGATACGAAAATATAACCATTGGACACTCCTAATCAAATACATAAGGAGCTCTGGTGTCACAATGGTTAAGCATTCGGCTCCTCAACAAAAGGTTGGTGGTTTGAACGCATCCAGTGGCTCTGCAGGAGAAAGACCTGACAATCTGCTCCCGTAAAAATTTACAGCCTGGAAAACCCCATGGAGCAGTTCTGTCACATGGGGTCACTGTGAGTCAGAATTGACTTGAGGGCACCTAACAACAACAAATACTTGGAAAAGGCAAGGTTCTGGATGATCAAATATCTGATAACTTAGATCATTTTAGTCAAATTTAGGAGATTGGCTGGTTGCTCCTAACTGTGTTGGAGAAAGTAGCGAAAGAAAAGGATGAGCTCGGGGCTTCAAATTCTTAGCTCAAGTACTGCATAAATGACCTGAAAGTGTCTTATGATTTGAAAGAAACCCTTAATACCCTGTAGCCTCAGAGCTGAGATTGCTGAAAACCAAACCCAGAGTCTCATCCTGTGAGTGGCTGAATTGCAATGAAAATTGAATTCCCAGCCTCACACAGTGTCTGCTCTTAAAGTGAGGGCATTGATTAGGAAGATCCTAAAAATTAGAATGGGGATATATGGGCAGATCCTGATGAAGCTGGGGACATTGAATGCCTAGACTCTACTGAGTCTTCTGTGGTGCAGTGAATTACTTCATATGGCCCTTATAGCCATGCATGGTCTTGTGCCTCCCACAAACTGACTGGGTGGGACTACGCAAATAAGGTGCTTGTGGCCCAGCAAGGGGATTGGGCAGCTTGAGAATAATACAATTAAGGTGCATGGAACCCTTGGAGGGCTAGCACTATGCAAATAAGATGTATGGAACCCTAATGAGAGGATTGGTCAGTTTTGTCATCCTGTTAGGCTTAAAGGGAGCCAATCCCAAAGGCAGAGAAAAGGAGACATTACTATCAAGAAGGTCCCTGTGCTGAGAAACTCCTAGACCCAGGAGATAGAGAGCTGTAACACCCGAGACGGCGAGAAGTGGCAGCAAGCACGGCAGAGTCCAGCGGCAGAGAAATGATAGCAGCAGAACCAGGAGACCAGCACAAGATGGCACAGTGGGCGTCCCGGCCCACAGAGCCAAGAGAGCTGAGTACCTTCAGGCAGGAGGTTTGCTGGCGGAGTGGGGTGCCTCTAGGCACTCATCAATTGAGCTGAAGAGCTTTGTAACACTTGCCTGACCAGAGCAGAAGCTAGAGAGGAGCCTGTCCTGAGGGGGGCTAACAGGAGGCCTGTCCTCACAGGGCATGCACAGCAAAGAGAAGGGCCTGCCTGTGGGCATGGCTGAGAAGCTGTCCTGACCAAAGAACTATATTCTGAATTGTTCCTGATCCTGAATTGTAACCTGTTACTTCCCTAATAAACCCGATAATCGAGTCTGGTCTGTGAGTTCGGTGTGGCCACTGCAATGATTTATCAAACCCAGCAGAGAAGTAGAGAGTGCCGTAGAGAAGTAGAGAGTGCCGTAGAAGGGATGGCTGGTGTCAGAATTGGTATAAAAGATTGAAGAGAAGAGGTATGTCTGATCTCCCCCTCGTGGGCATCAGCTTTGGGCTTGATGCTGATGCTGATTCTCCTCTCTTCTTCCCCTGAAGTTAGACTAGGAGGTCTGATGCCACCATCTTGTTCTTACATCTTTGCCAGTAACAACAGCAGGCTTTCCACCATCTGAGGAGATTAACCCTGCTTTGCCTAAGGAATCTGGTATGGCTTCCCTCCCCTGAGGTTGTTGCCTCTTTCGAGACACTGCTGCTAATTCTCTTCAGGATCCACCTCCACCAGTCTTTGCTTCTAGACCTATAACCAGACCCAAGTTTCAGTACACCTCAAAAGATGCGATACCAAATTGACCCATGAGGAGGTATGCTACACTCCAAAAGAACTGGATGATTTTTCTACTTTACGTAACAAGTCCAGGGAATATTGGTGGAAACGGATATTAAGAGTGGGCCTGCCGGCCTGTCCTATAGATTTCAGGCTTGCTAATCCCACAATCGCGTAAGCCAATTTCTAATTCCTGAATTGGGGGCCGACGGGGCAGCGCCTAACAACTGGTTCTGTGTTTCTGGAGCACCCTGTCTGATACGCAAAGCAACTAACCAGAACAGACACCTGTAGCTCATGATAGGACTCTTTGTCCCTAAAACAAAGCTTTATAAGTAGACATAATGGTCACAAGAGGGTCTGTGAGTCGACAGACCCCCCCCCACTCCTCCCAGCTGGGTGTTCAGGCAGTGTCCTTAGTGCCAACCTCAGGGCCTGGCCCGCGGCGAGACTGGCTGCTCAGTGTAACCTTGAGCACCTGGGCTGAGCACCACCCAACTCCTCATGCTTGCACCTGACACCAGTCCTGTGTTCTGTACTTTCTGACAGTGTGGTACAGTGGGTGGAGACCAAGAGGCAGGAATGGTGGGGGGGGGGGGCACTGGGACAGGCCCAGTGGAAGCGGGGCAGCCACAGGGGCAGCCAGGATCCCCGGACACAGATGGGTCATGTACACGGGGCTGGCCCGGACACTGGCCACTGGGCTTGGAGACATGGCCCCAGGCCCCGAGCTGGGCTCTCACCCCTCAGAGCTCAGAACCGACTGAAAGGCACAGATGGGGCCCCTCCTGAGTGTCTGCTTCAGTAGGCCTAGGGGGTCACAGAGCTACATTTCTAATGTCCCAGGAGGCTGCTGCTGCCGTGAGAACCACTGGGCCCAGCTGCAGAGGGCACAGGACCTAAACACACGCCTGGCTGCCCAGTCACAAGATGCTCCCGTTCAGGCCTAAAGAGTGGTCCGCAATCCAACAGTGTTTTATCTCCTCAGCTGACAGGGTGCTGTCTGTGGTCAGAAGGCTCAGGTGAGGTGGTTTGGGGGCCTCCAAGCATCCTGGACCTGCCCATGGGCCTCTTTGCTCGTGGTGACACGGGGCTGGTGATGGCCCAGTCCCCGAGGACTGAGGACCCGCCACCGAAGACTGAGCACTGTGGGAGGGTGAGGTGGTGGGGCACCCGGTGAAGCAATTTGCAAGGACAGGTGCCTGCAAGACCAGCGGATCCGTGCCTCCTGGGCCACCACCAGGGGTCACTGCAGCCTGTGGGCCTCAGTGCAGGGATGAGGGGCCAGGCAGGGCGGCCAGTGGGAGTGTCCGGGCTCCCTGCCTCCCCCACCTCTCTGTCCCGTGTAAAGGGCGCTGGATGGTGTAGTGTGCCAAAGCCCAACCAGGGACAGGGGACCGGGCAGGCTGCAGTCCCAGGGAGCTCCTTGCCTCGGCCTACACTTGGCCAGCCACAGTGCGCACGAAAGGCCTCAGGGCCCCCTGGTCCAGTCCATCCTTTGGGGCACTCTGCGGAGCCCCTTCTCTGACCCATCTGGGAGATGGGGCAACTTGGGCACCTACCCACAAGGCCACTCCCCTGCAAAGGCACATGGTGGGCATGTCCCTGTACCCACTTTCAGGGTGGCACCAGGGCAGGGGTGGAGGATTCCAGGCATGGGAAGGGGCTCAGGCTCATCCCTGCCCCGCACCCCCTCCTCCCGTCCCACCCCACCCTGTCCCCGCTTCCCCCAAAACGGTTTCTGCCTGTGGCTCACTTCCCTGACACACATGCCCCAGGAATCAGAATCAGACACCTGGAGGGACAACCCCAGGTGAGTGGAGGCCACTCGGGCCCTGCCCGGGCCTGCAATGCCCACCAGGCACTGTACCCTGGGTCTGACCTATGTTGACCTCTGGGCGGGCCATGCAGGGCTTGGACAAGGAAGGGAGGGAACATGGGGGTCCCCCACCAATGACTCCAGGTGCCTACTGAGCAGCGAGCTTTGGGACCTGAGGGCAGGTTCAGGCCAGCCCAGCACAGGCACAAAGGTGATGATGGTCATGAACCCAGGGGCCTCTCATGCCCACGAGGGACGCAGGGCCAGGCCCCAACCACCTAGGTCCTCGCTATCCTCCCTGTCACACTGGCAAGAGTGAGTTATTACGCACTGGGTCAGAGCTGCCATCTGCTCGACCTCCATCCCACCCCCACCATGGACAGCAATCCTCACCTCACCCCCACCTGGACAGGGACCTCCCCATCCCACCCCCACCCTGGATGGGGATCCTCCATCACACACCCACCCTGGACGGGGATCCCCATCACACACACACCCTGGACAGGGATCCTCCATTACACAGACACCCTGGACAGG